ATACAATGCTTTGTAAATTGGTGAGCTTGGCAATTTTTCAGTTTCATCTAATTGACATTTTCTTCTACAATAAAAACATTTCAGTTCAAGACAGTTCATTTTCATGAATGTCTCTAAAGCCAAATAGCTGATTTTGTGTTTACATGGTAGTATTCTAAAATTATCTGTAACTTCTTGTGTGAATTGACATGTAAGATGATCAGCAACCATGTCTAAAATTAATGAATCATTTGGATTTGAATGCAGAAGTTCTTCAGATGGCTGACCAGGTTTACTTGCATTTTGTTTGAAGGTTGACATTCCAATATTTGTTCTGCAGCTTGCTTGATTAATATGAGTATACTTTTCATCAATGTATTTTTTTATGTCTTGAAGTCTTTTTTTATCTTGACTCAAAGTCAAAAAATTTTCAACATGTTTGTCTAGATCAACTTGCACAACAGAAAATGTGATTGGATCTTTTTTATGCAGTGTCACTAGAACTTCCATTGCTTTAAATTGAATGAATTCTATCCTCATGATGTCCAGAGATAGTTTTGCAAGATAATAACAATGAGCCAAGGTATTGGTATTTTTTGTAGATGCTATCAACCTTTGAGCAATATCCAGTACACCAAACAGTAATGAGTATGGAACTGATTCTGATATAATTTTTAATTTAGTATTTGTACTGGATTCATACCCATCTGACTTTGCTGAAATCACTTTATTCCATTCTTGGTCTCCAAACCTCCATAGATCCTTGATAAGCATTAATTCTCCTTTAGCAACTAAACTTTTATTAATTGGAGCAGCTGACCATTCAACAAATGTCTGGTAAACAGTGTATAAGTATCTCCATTCCTTGTACCAATGTCCCACAGAAAACTTGGATTGTAAAACCTCCTGAATATTAATATATATTTCAACAGTGGATTTGTTATCAATTGGGGTTTCCATAGTTGTCATAACACCAGTCATATCAGGTAAAGCCTCAACTAGTGTAGCAAAAAGAGCCTTCAGTTGGTTTATAATTTCAAGCCAAGCAGTCTTATCATCATCCATCACATGAAGAGTATTATAAAGATGCATAAATAAGAATTCATTGTCATAATTTTGAACTTTAACATCTTTTTCCAATGTAGTAGATAAAACCCTTAGACTTTGTAAGCTGTTTTTTATGGCTTTGATATAACATCTGTGGATGTCATACAATTTTGTAAGGTTCTCATGCAAAGTTTCAAGTAACTCCTTCTCCATCTTAACAAGTCGTTTGCCATATGTTTCTAAAGCCAACACATATGCTTTAAGATGTAATTCCAATTCAATATCAGTGGTCATCTTATAGTCATCATATGTGACATTGGTTCCAACAGTTTTCAAAACATTTCTCAATTGCTTATCCTCTAACCTATTACCAAATAATAGTAACAGATTGGATAATTTAATAAAGTGACTGATTCTGTCATTACTATTGACAATTGATTCCAAAGTCATAGATAGTTGCTCATTTAATTCAGCCCTGCTCAGATGTGTTGGACACACATCATCATTATCACTGTCACTTTCAAATACAATAAGATCTCTCTCAATATCAAATATGTCTTCGGTCTCTGCATTATCAAGCTGCTTTCCCTTCCCTTTGTTTTTGGTACTAGTACCTGAAGATGATTGCTGCCCAATCTCCTAGTAATAGTAATTAAAGTGAGTTGTATTTTATTGTGATGCGAAAATTGAAAACTTATTATTATTGTTGTATGCCAAAACTTACCCAGCCGCTTCCTGACAAGTCGTAGTCCATACTAATTATAATCAATACTAGTAACAGTGTTTTTCTGGAGAAATTCTTGGCGGTGATGTTAATGCTAAGACAAACGTTTGTTTATCCTTGTGCGATGTGATACAATTAGAGTTGAAATGAACCAATCACTAGACAGTTCTCCAACCGTGTAATTACGGAACGGAAATTTCCATTGCAATACAGCATCAAGATGATATTTATAGTGGTGATATCAAAAACAAATTATGCCGCGAAAAGATTATGATACGGATAATGTTAAACTACGAATACGATAAAGGCATTTATCTGTCTCATTACATCTTAGCGGATATGCTAATACTAAGAGAATTTATGCGGTAATTCGTCTTCTGCGGCTCAAGTATGGTCCGCGTTCCTTGTCGATATAAGCTCATGTCCATAACAATATAGCAACCAAAGCGCGCAATTTATTACAAGCGGCTCTCGATATAAGAAAGTGGCTTTCTTAGACCAAAATTTCTTTTAACGTGAAATTGGGACCAGCAAAAGATTTTTTTTATAGGCAGATTTCTCATATAATAGTCAAACGGTTAAATACGGACATTACGAAAATGAAAGAATCTCCCCACAATTGTATTTGGCAAATTCATCCTCTTGGGCGTGACATCAATTGGGAAATTGCCGGCTACTGCCGAATGCTCCTAGGAAAATCTCTAATTCTGTTTCTCCTTGACGTATGTGTTATTATATTATTATTATCCTTGGTTTTTCCGGACCGGGTAAGTGATTTGCTTGTGAATCAAGTCGAGAACATTTGTCAACACGTATCACTATGGCATTTTGTTGCATACTCGGATAATAGTCTAGAGATCACATACATGCAAAGTGACCAGAACGTGCGGTCTCCATCGAAAAAGACATTTTGTTTTTATCTCGCTCCGCTTGTATGTTAGCACACGAACATGTTTACTAAACGTCATGATTGAGTACTGTCAATTACCGTACGGGAGCCATGATAATAATTTCGATTACAGTCGAACCCCGTTATAACGAAGAGGTCGGGAACATAAAGGAAGAAATTCGGTTCAATTAGTAAATTCAGTGTAATGGGGTTAAATTCGCTATAAACGTTTCTGTGCTTACCTTCGGTATAGCGGGGTTTTATTTAGTCCTTCGGTATAACGAGGTTCGACTGTAGTTTGCGTTAAGTTCGAAAGACTAAAACGCGAGTATACCAAAGGTGTCCGATTAAATTACAAACGCACAAATGAATGCTTTCTGTAGTCATCTGTTCATTTCCCCCTACCCAATTCGTTTTGTTTTATACTGTACATATGTGCACTCGTTGATTAAATAAAAATTATTTTCCTTTTTTTTTTTTTCCCTTTTACATCCTTGATATCTTCTCTCGGAGACAAAAGCAGGAGTATAAATTGACCCAACCGGATTCTGCCCGGCTTGCCAAAATCTTCCTATTGAGAAGGCACTGTTTCGTATCCTTTCTTAATGGATGAGGTGTTCGCATCCACATTAGCATTTTGGAGGGAATAATGGCTGCTGCCTGTTAGAATCCCTCCATTCTTGATCATCGGTATCGGCCATGCGTGAAAGTCGAGAGAAGCGAATCATGGATTCTCGGATCGTGATGAAGGATTGAGTGGGATTTTTCCATGCTGTGCGTAGACTATCTTGGAACGGAATTCTCTTTAGGATATGACACTTGCCTATTGCAATTTCTCATTTCTCTATGTCATAGGGAACTACCAAATGACAAGCGCAATAATAATCAGAATTCCAACAGCAATTGATAGGACAGTGGTCTATTAGTTTGAGATTTTCATGCTGAACCGACGCATCCGAATCATCGTTATCTGAAGAACTGAATGATTGATGTCGATGGTTGGTCGTTGTTTTCATCGGTGCCTAAACGCGCGCTTTGGGTCCCCGCTTCGTCTCGTTGTTTCTCCAAATACCGACCTGATTGACATTAGTTTGATGACTCGCATTCAATTTCAGTAGGCAATTTGGGCCTGCACACAGACGACGTTGATGTTGAATCGCAATATAAAGGATCGTAGTTGTCATAGTCTTCAAGTAGTTCGGTTGAATATCCATCTGTCGTCTTGAGAATAACCGACAATAGTTTAGTCAAAGTCATTGGAGTGGTCAGTAACATGCAGCTCTCGTTTCTTTGCGATAAGGTTTAACGATTCAGGACAAGAGCTCAAGCGTCATCCTTGCGAGTTTTAGGGGAGCAGCAGTTCCGTTTAGCAGTCGTGATTGATACAGTAATCGACAGATCTGGTGAACAGTTTGGGTCTGACGTGCTGGTAGAAGCCTTCCCGCCCCGTTTAGACAATAGAATTCTCGGCCACTAGTTTTGGTGTCAGATGATGGTGAGCGAGGAGGATGGGTTCTTTAACAATTTCGTTCACCTTATAATTGTCAGTTGCTATCATAATACTTCTAATTGTTACTTACTTTCAGTAATGGTTGAATTTAGAGATGCGACACTCTACAGTGTTACATATCCTCGCACCTCTTCCAAAAACCGATACTTATCAACATGTTGCTTTTTGGATTATTCAAATTTATTAGAATGTTGCCCGATTTATCTGTAAAAATTCAGATCAATCTGACATATTTTACGCATCTTTAAAGTAGATTATCTGTTTTGGAAATTCATATAATTATCAAGAGTCGCACAAAACGTACAAACACATGGTCCGCATGACGCTAATACTGTAATAAAGATCACAATTTTTGATTGACCACTATTTCCTAATTTCTTGAAACCGTGATTGGTTCAAAGTAGTAGTAGTTTATCCTTGTACAACGTGCCGAAATCTATCAAGTCAAAGACCAATTTTTTGTACAAACCCCTGCAGCAGCAAAGGACACTTTGATCTCTGTAGATTTAAAATAATCTGGGCTAGATGAAAACGAATTTCTTCTCCAGTAACAAAAGACAAGTGTCGAAAGAAAAGAAAAAAGTTTAAAGACTGTTAAAAAACACTCAAAGAATGCAAAATCCAATCATGCATTCTTACCATGCGAGCGATTTAAACTTTATGATATCTCCATAAATAGTTATAATTAAGCAGCTGATCATAAACATTGATGTGTGTCTGATTGATCCCTACGCATCTTCCCGGCAAATCGGAAGGCGTAAAAAAAAAATAACACCCATGAATGGAATCTTTTTATATAAATCCAATAATTTTTTCCTCTCCTTGTTCGATTGAGCGATTAGCAGACCACCATGGGTAAACCAGAGAAACGTGAGTTGGAAATAGAGATTGCCCACTGCCCGATTATTTCTTTGGAAACCAAAATAAGCCGGGTTTGGATTGACTGTTTCGTCTTGTTGATAAATCAAATTAAACCGAATAATGGAAAGTGTCATTAATTCATTCTATGCTATGCTTTAGCTCTTCCTTTTTCATACTTCTTCCTCGCTGGCGGCTTGGCGGGAACTACTGAGATCCTTGTCATGTAAGTATGCTCACGGTAATGAGGAGTGTAGCATCTTGGAATTGGTGTCGACCGAAAACCATTGTAAACGCATTAATGCATATGATATGTCTAATGCTACTGGTTCTTGTCCATTTTTATTACTTTAGGTATCCTCTTGATGGTACGAACTCCGTTTTCAATTAACAATAATTGTTGGCACACATTCAATTACTAATAGAATTTGAACACATTAGTCGTAAAGACACGTTTTCAACTACAAGTAGGTACGGGAGGATACACATCTATTGTAGACTGTTTCCAGAAGATTATAAAAAACGAAGGGTATGGTAGTCGCATTCGTCAGTTTTTCGACATAATTCTTGCATCGGTGCTCATCTCATTGCCAATTACTCAATGCTATAGATTCAGCCGATTATATAGAGGCATTCTTCCTCCTATTCTCGTTGAGGCTCCCAAACGTGCGATCAAATTTGCGGCCAATGAACAATATTCAAAATTGTTCAAATCCATCTACAAGACAGACAAGATGACACAGAAAATGTCCATCATGAGCGGCGTGTCTGCTGGATGTACAGAGGCGTTCGTAGTTGTACCCGCAGAGTTGGTGAAGATTAGATTACAAGACAAGGCTAATGTATGGAAAAATGAGAGTGGAGAAAGCCACAGAAGTTGTATTAGGAAGACAACCAATTGATTTATAATAGTTTGTTTTTTTGATAGGCTGGAAAGTATACAGGCACGATGGATGCATTTCTAAAGATAGTCAGACAAGAAGGTAAGAGATTCCGTAATTTCATTAAAGAAGACGTGTCTGACGACGTTATACTTGAATAGTTAAATAAATCTGGATCTCGTCTATAGGACTTTTTGCGTTATATAATGGATTAGAAGCGACAATATGGCGTCATGCAACATGGAATGGTGGATATTTTGGAGTTATTCATACGATAAGGAAAGCTCTTCCTAAAGCAGAAGCAAGTATTCTACTTATTGTATAATGCACGAGCAAAATCGGGTATCGACTTGGATTAACCCCCGCCGATATTTACTTTTCCCTCTCACAATTAGACAAAGAAAGGCACGCTATTCAATAACTTTGTTGCAGGCGCAATAGGAGGCACAGTTGGTACCATTATCAATACACCGTTCGACGTTGTAAAGACGCGTATTCAAGGAGATTCAGGTCCATACAAGAAATACAATTGGACACTTCCAGCGGTAAAGATAGTTTACCAGGAAGAAGGGTAATGTGTTGATTATAAATACGCTTTGGTGTTATATGTACATGAGGGAATGAGGTCTATCGATTTACATTTAATTTTGCTTTTTTTCTTAGATTTGGCGCCTTATATAAAGGCTTTGTTCCAAAGGTTCTTCGTCTCGGTCCAGGAGGAGGTATTCTACTGGTTGTCTTTGATACTGTTACTACTTGGATGCGAAAACATTTAATGTGAACGTAATGTGAGCATACCCATTTAATAGATATGTCATAGTCAGATCTTCAATAAATATATTGTTTGCATCGTCGACGCTTTGGTGTTTCGTTACCTTATTATCCAATTTATTTACTATCACTATGATTACACCAACAACAATTACTGCTACCTTCATAGCAGAGCGCATCGGTCAAGTATCAATTATAAGATGGCAAACAAAATGCATTTCTCTGCCATTCATTTGCTTTCGGCTGGGCCATTGAAAATATATGTTGCTCAGATCTAGAAAGAGATTGAAAACGCTTCACGTAATTCGGCAATATTTTCTCTTCGAACAATCACAAACGCAAACTATATCCAAGAATTGTGTTTCTTTTCAAATTCGATACCACTGTATTCACTATTTTTGATAGCACGTTTACAAGATTTATTGACATTATCATAAATGTTTTCATTGCGGGTAACCAAAGCGGTGAATGACCTCTCTAATTATCATCATCGTGACTGACAATAGAAACATTATTCACATCAAGAGCATCTAAGCTACGTGGGTTTTGCTATATTACGCACAAACTGCTTTTCCATTTCGTCTGAATGAAATGATACAGGATCCGGAAAAAACTTTGCAGTAAAACGATGGATGCAGTTTACAATGGCTCCCTCTGAACCATTGTTATATTCACTCCCAATGACATTGTTTCGTTCTTTAAATGGTCTTTGGCCTGATCCCATACTCCGTCGTGTTTGGCCCAAGCTCCATTGCAGATTGAGATTCGCGATTTCCCCCCGCCACCCCAAAACTCTTACTTGTAGAGACACGTTGCCGTGTGTGTTGTCTGTGACAAGTTTTCTTGAAAAATGCAACAAGGACACAACCTCCGCATCAAACCCAAAAATCGCAAAGAAAATTTGGCGGTGCCCGTCGGATTGGTTCCGCTGTTTCGCGCGTGGGAGGGAATAACGAAGCTGCTGGAGCTTTGATTCATACGCAGAACCTTTCACCAGGTAATCCTTCAGAATATCGTCGTTTGCTGAAACGGTGACATCAGGTCAGGGAACTCATGCCAAGCCTTTTTGCCACCAAATCCCATATACTGTACATCGACAAATATAAATGTCGGGGAGCCTGTTCTATTCCTGCAAATGCTGATGACAATTTTGTTGTTGCAAAAGTCTTGTACTCCGGATCTTTCGCGCGATTATGATAATTCTTCAATTGTATCAACTGGTCATTTTCGTTAAAAAGCAGTATGATAATGATAAGGTCGCAACCTGGCTGTCCCCGACGACAACAAACAGCTGCACCACGAGCAAATAATAGGAGCT